TACAACAAACTCATGTGCTTCGTTTTGGTCTCTAGTGCGCCACTTAACCCGCGCCCCACTGGGGTCTGCGTATAACACGCCCTACTGGGGGGGGGGGGCTATTCATAGCCCCCCCTAACTCCGAAACTACTGGGCCGATCGTCAAAATTCAAACGGCGTCTGATAGCCCCGGAAAAACTGTTGAGCGAAACCTAATTTCATTGACCTTGAGGTCACCGATGACGTCACAGGTCAGGTCAAAGTAAAAATTATTAGCATTTTGATTTGTTCACGTTTTGGGCTCTGGCCGCCGTCTTACAAGTCAGATCAGGCTCATTTTTGGTTCACACACTCGTGAACAGATGCTCTAGATACCCTGAGGGTACCAAACTTGTACTTTGATTTTCAGGTCAAGGTCAGGTCATCACAGGTCACGAAAATATTATATCATGCGTCGGTCACGTGACACATGTTTTATGGTCCATTTAGGCCAAAGATTTCGAATTTGATGTCGTCTGTGTCATTCGAGGTCATTTTGAGTCGAATTTAGCATAGGTCAGGTCACTTTCAGGTCAAAAAAGGTCCAATTTTGAAGCTAAAATTTTTCAACAAAAAAGGTGTGTATTAGATGCAGTTTGAGCTCAGGAACACGATGGTGCTGTTTATATTGGCGTACGATGTCAAATACGTGCTGAAAAATTGATTTGAAAAATTAATAATTGTAAATTTTTTTGCAATAATGCGCATAACTTGGCCATTTTTGAAGATTTTTAGCTAAAACTTGCTAGAGTTACTAAAAATAATGCGTTCTATCACATATATTCCGGTTTTTTTTTCAAAAAGTCAAAAACGTTTTGGAAAAATGTAAAAATACAAATTTTGAATTTTATTATATTAAATTTTCGAAATTTTCAACATTTCGAAAATCCGAGATAGCAGTTTAATAGCGCAGTCTATTCTGAGTCCTCTCATGCAAAGAAATTGGATCTAGCTTAAAAACTGAGCTCTTGGGAGCGATTGCCGTGGTTCAATGTTTTGCGTCGAAATCGGCCGAACATGACGTCACTCTGGCGTCATTTTCGGCCGACCTATGGTACCCGAAGGTTGTTTCTTCATTAGACAAACACTATTCTTTAGAATTGTGTTTTTCTATTGAAAAACAAACTGAGGGTGTTTCCATTTCGGGATAGGATTCGTGTTTGGTGCAGCGAATTGGGGCACCTTGCACCGTTTGCACACGAACCGATAGATTTTGATTAAATTTTCAGGGCAGCTGCCCCCACAGATTATCTACCACGAAACACCCTCAGCTAAGATTATTATTATTTTTCTTGCACGTGGCACGTGCACGTGTTTTAGGCCCATAGGCTTCAACAATAGGTGGATTTTCGGCATCGCATTTCTCGCAGACGGGTGCTTGTAATGCGATGGGCTTCTATGTGCTGGGTGGCCGCCCCGGCATCTACCATGAGCCGGCGGCGCCGTTTCGGGCAGCTTCGGGAAGGGGGTGCAAATTGCACGTGCAGCCGCCATTGGTTTAACGTTACGAAATGTGCCAAAACGGGTTTTCTCGATTTGCTCAAAATCGGCTCGATAGATTTTCTTTGTTTTTTTAGTACCGGTAGTCGGTCAGTAGGTTCGTTCGTCAATGTCAATCGCTTGAAATATAATTAACTTTTTTGCACGTGGCACGCGCACAAATCTTCACGTCTTAAGTCAATGGGATTTCTTGAAAAAATACTTAAATCGATTTTGCTCAAAATTTCCACGTTAGATATTAAAAATGTTTCAGTATGATATGCACCCACATGTCGCCTACCAGGTGGCATAGGCCATATATGGGGCGATTGAAATGCACGTGCACGCCCCGCACTTGTTTGAGGGGACCACCTCCGTGAAAATTTGACCACTGCTGGTATGATGGCCTGTGCCGCGCAAACAATACGTGCCAGCGGAACCAATCGAGGTCAGTCGTCAAGGGGATGCTCTAGGATAGTTGTACACCTCATCACGTGGTGCACGTGTTTTCGCACGTGCGCCACATGGGTATAGCATTTTGGGATAGGTAGCCATTGGTGCATAATTATGCTCAGGTGATAACCTCACTGCATGGGTTTGAGCCAGAGTTCCAAGTCGGTTGCGATAATGACCATTGGTGTTGGGTCTACTACGTGTCAAACACGTGGCCGCCCGGGGTTCTCCATTCCGGAGATATTGTGACCGATAGTGAGGTAAGCCCTAATTTAAAGATTGGCCAAGTTTGATCGGCCGCTGGGAGACAATGGTGGCGCACCCGAAAGTCTACCCATGGGCACTGAAGACCCCTTTCATCTGGTACAAAAGGATGGTCGCTTTATGTCTTTAGGCCACACGTGGCACGTGGCACCCCACCTCGAGTGACCATGTGCACTCTCAATGTAAGGCGTTTTGGCCATAAATTTGCCATTTATGGGCCGATTTCGACGAAAATTGCAACATTGATGCATTAAAATGACCTGTGTCACAAACGGCGCTACGAATACAACAAACTCATGTGCTTCGTTTTGGTCTCTAGTGCGCCACTTAACCCGCGCCCCACTGGGGTCTGCGTATAACACGCCCTACTGGGGGGGGGGGGGGGCTATTCATAGCCCCCCCTAACTCCGAAACTACTGGGCCGATCGTCAAAATTCAAACGGCGTCTGATAGCCCCGGAAAAACTGTTGAGCGAAACCTAATTTCATTGACCTTGAGGTCACCGATGACGTCACAGGTCAGGTCAAAGTAAAAATTATTAGCATTTTGATTTGTTCACGTTTTGGGCTCTGGCCGCCGTCTTACAAGTCAGATCAGGCTCATTTTTGGTTCACACACTCGTGAACAGATGCTCTAGATACCCTGAGGGTACCAAACTTGTACTTTGATTTTCAGGTCAAGGTCAGGTCATCACAGGTCACGAAAATATTATATCATGCGTCGGTCACGTGACACATGTTTTATGGTCCATTTAGGCCAAAGATTTCGAATTTGATGTCGTCTGTGTCATTCGAGGTCATTTTGAGTCGAATTTAGCATAGGTCAGGTCACTTTCAGGTCAAAAAAGGTCCAATTTTGAAGCTAAAATTTTTCAACAAAAAAGGTGTGTATTAGATGCAGTTTGAGCTCAGGAACACGATGGTGCTATTTATATTGGCGTACGATGTCAAATACGTGCTGAAAAATTGATTTGAAAAATTAATAATTGTAAATTTTTTGCAATAATGCGCATAACTTGGCCATTTTTGAAGATTTTTAGCTAAAACTTGCTAGAGTTACTAAAAATAATGCGTTCTATCACATATATTCCGGTTTTTTTTTCAAAAAGTCAAAAACGTTTTGGAAAAATGTAAAAATATAAATTCTGAATTTTATTATATTAAATTTTCGAAATTTTCAACATTTCGAAAATCCGAGATAGCAGTTTAATAGCGCAGTCTATTCTGAGTCCTCTCATGCAAAGAAATTGGATCTAGCTTAAAAACTGAGCTCTTGGGAGCGATTGCCGTGGTTCAATGTTTTGCGTCGAAATCGGCCGAACATGACGTCACTCTGGCGTCATTTTCGGCCGACCTATGGTAGCTACGAAGTTCATATTTTGACACAAGGTGTCAAATTGATGCAGCCGAAGGTACTGAAAGTTTGGCGTTGATACGTCAAGCGGTTTAGAAGTTATTGCAGAAAAACGGGAGGGGGGGGGGCTATGAATATTGAATAAGGCAACCCCCCCCCCCCCCCCAGTGGGGCGCGGGTTGCTACAGTGGCTAAAGTCGAGGAATATTACGCGTATTTATTTCAACGGGCCGATTTCGTCGAAACTTGCAACGGTAGTGCACGAAACTAGGCAGCGACACATATGAAGCGAGACAAAAATAGGCTGTTGTGCGCCATTTTTGTCTTAAGTGCGCCATTAACTGCCTAAAGTGGCTTTAACTAAAGAATCTCATCATTTTCATGAATTAATAAGTTACTGTGAGGTATGCATGTAACGTCTCGCGCCACTTTGGACTTAATTGCGTTAGCGTTTCGGGCGTGTGATTTGCGCGTTTTGCGGTGTTTGCGTTTTGCGGCGGGCGGGTGTTTTGTGTTTTTTGTGGTGTTTGTTTGACGGCGGGCGGACGGGCGATGCGGGCATTTTTTGCGTCTTTTTCGGTGTTAAGTTTTTTTCGGTTTCCGGCGGCCTGGCGCTTTTGCCGTGTTTGCGTTTGGCAGCGGGCGGGCGATTTTTTAGGCGTTTTCGGTTGGTGTTTAGCGTGCGTGCGATGCGGGTGGTTTATTTTTTTGCGGCGTTTTTGCGTTTTTTGCGGTTTGTGGTGGTCGTGCGATTTTTTCGACGTTTGCTTTGGCGTTTCGGACGTGCGTTTTGCGCGTTTTGTGGTGTTTGCGTTTTGCGGCGGGCGGGCGGGCGTTTTGTGTTTGGCGGCGGGCGTGCGGGCGATGCGGGCGGCTTTCTTTTTTGCGTCGTTTGCGGTGTTCAATTTGTTGGCGGTTGGCGGCGGTTGGGCGCTTTTTAGGCGTTTTCGGTTGGCGGTTAGCGTGCGTGTGATGCGGGCGGTTTTATTTTTTGCGGCGTTTTTGCGTTTTTTTTGCGGTTTGCGGCGGGCGGGCATTTATTTGTGTTTTTTCTTCTTGCGACATTTACGTTGGCGTTTCCGGCGTGCGTTTTGCGCGTTTTGCGGTGTTTGCGTTTTGCGGCGGGCGGGCGTTTTTCACAATTCAAAGTCACAACCTTCGGGCCGCAGCGCTGCTCGAAAAGCGCTGCCCTCGAGTACATTTATGTTAGACAGCAGATAAAACTCATTCTCGATTGCAGTTGTTGCAGTCCAAGTTATGTTGGCTCAAATCATCACAACTTCGAAGTTCGAACATGTACAAACTCAGCTGTAGGTTTACCTTACACAACTCAAACCTTTTCCGTCAACTCAAAGCTAAATCTTAGGCCAATTACACTGAGTTTAGTGCCAATCTACTCTGCGTTTCTCGTAGGCTCATGTTGAGTTTCTCACGCTGAGCGGCAGGGCGAAGTAGGTGTCGAAACAGGCGAGCAGAATGAACAGCGCCGTTATAAAGTAGTAAATCGCAGCAGTCCGCGGGTTCGGTGCCATCGCGATCGACAGAATCTTGATCAGCGCCGTCACCGTGCCGCTAATGTTCTGTCAACGGCAGGGGTCAGAGGTCAGGTCACGAAAGGTCACATGTCCGTCAGGTGTTTGGTTTGCTGTCTGGCCCATCAAGACAAATGTTTACCATGAACGCTGATGTCACCAACGTGTCTAGCATGATTAACGTGTCAAGAACGCACACCACCCCAGTCCAACATGGGTCCATAATTCAGCACGAGTTAAAAATGTGTTCATGGCTGAAATCTATCTGGATATTTATCTAGCTAGCGTACGTCAGCATCCGTCAAAAGACATAAGTTCTCCTCTGCTGAAAACACACAACCCACACTCAACCCTCCCTCTCAAAGGCGGCGACATACATCAATGAACTCCAACTCCGCCCCAGTCTCGACCCTGACATTCCATCGAGCACAACATAACGACCGCGGCCTACCCTTCAAGTCACGTGACCGGAATAAGACGAACGCAACGCAGACGAAAACCGACGTGCCGTGTCGTCCAGAACAGACTATGTCACGGGTCGGTAACTTGGGGAGCGTTCACTGGCAGCTGGCGCGCGGGGGGCGTCATCACGAGAAAGGGGGCGTCAACGGGTCACGTGGGGCGTATGACGCGCGCGGGGTGACGCACGGGTCACGGCACGGATGGCTGAGAGGTTCTGGTCTTACCGATCCGAGCACCACGGCTCCGGTGTAGCGGAAGGGGAGTCGCGCCGCCAGGCCGTACACGGAGTTCTGGTAGATGCCGTTCGCCACTGCGGAAGAGAGAGGGACGGGAGAGAGTTAGAGGGAGGCAGCGATAGGGCTGGGGGGGGGGGGGGTCCGTCTGGAATAAAGATCTGTCCATGACAACACCAGCAGAAAAATGCTATGCCTGGTGAGCTATCATGCCAGAAACCCCTTAGAATGAGCCTCTCCTCCCGGCTGGGTATGTCCCTTTGCGATGCACGACGATGTCCCCGGCGATGCTGAATGAATTTCGAGCCAATCTCTAGTTGTCAGAGGTCATTTCATCCTGGGTTAGCCCCGCTAGACAAGAAACCGAGTCTTGCGATTACGAAAAAGCTACGAGTACCAGACCTCATCGTTGGTATGTGCATACATCAGTAGGAAAACATACATCGAGTGTATCTTGTCTCACAAAATGTATTTGTTTATTCCATTGAATATATGCAACAACCACGGTGGCCCAGTAACAAGCCTACATCGGTATATCACACCGTTACCTATAGCAACACTGGAGTGTTGCTCCAGTGTTCACTCCAGTATTGGAGTGAACGTGCGTGTCACTGGCCCAAACGTGACCTCTACATTGGTGATATTTCACTGATCTCAGGCCTAAACCAATCGTGCCCAGAATTAAGACACAAATATTTTGCGATGCTGCGTAACTACCCTGGCTAACTCGTCAGCCGGTCCCAAACTATGATCAAATCACCCTATTTTAGCACTGTTTTAGCAGTGTGTATGACCATTGACCGTTGAGTATGACCACTGACCGTTGAGTATGACCCACTGACCGTTGAGTATGACCACTGACCGTTGAGTATGACCACGGATGTAATTGTGGTGAAGAAGAAGGGTCCCGGCCACCGACTCGAGTCCACCATGGCCAGTATCACGGTGAAGATGAACACCATGGTGATGACGCACAGACTCCAGATGATCCGCCGGGCCAGCGAGCCTCTGCCGAGAGAAGGTAAGGTCAGAGACGAACAGAGAGGTCAGTGAGGGACGCTTGGGGCGGGGAGACTAGGAAATGGACAGTACGTGCGGCGGCTAAACAGATACAATGAATAGTGAAATTAGAAGCCACGGTTTTCAAGGGGTCGCCAGGTGTGAGTAGTAGCGGCCAGGTGGCATACCATGCTACTAAAGAAATAATATAATGATAATACGGCCCAGTCAGTTGTTACTCAGGCTCGGACATGGTCCTGAAAAACGAGGGCTCTGTTCCAACTCTGTCCCGAAATAGCCAGCTAATGGATTATAAACGGAAACGAAAATGGGGACACTCCCAAATAGCCCATCTTAGTTTTGTAAATTACAACGTCAGGTTACGAGATTCTGCTTCACATCATGTTCACTTTTCCAAGAAAAATACACTAATTTCACGTTATGAATCCCATCCATCTCGACATCAAGCTTATTTTGACATGGCTCAGCCACTCGCGGAAAAACAGATCACATTTATAAGCCGTGCGGCTCCCGAATGAGCGGATCACGTGAAATACAGTCCATACAGTTGGGTTCGTTTAAAATAAACACGCCGCTTCGTTAAACGGTGGTCCGTGCCAACCTACACAAACGGCGCCCACGGTTGAGGTTCGGGTCCGGGAAGCACGGCCCTTCGACAGCGAATTAGTCATGAACGAGCCGACAACAGGACCTCAATTCTCGCTGTCAACCTCGCTTTCGGCAGGCATCAGCTACAGGCACCTGTGCGTCAACTATTCCTTTTTCAAGTAACACGGAATAGACACGAAGCAAAGGAAGGAAAAAGGAGAAAACCTGACAGATACATAGGAAGGAAAAGGTGGGCGATAACCGGACAAAGCACATACCTAATACCGGACGAGCAATTTTAGACAACACAGCCAACAAGATCGTACTGGCGTACAACCACACAAAACGAGCTGATAGACGAATGACACGCGATAAAAGGAGTGGCAGACAGCCGGACATTGTGAGGTCGCCAGACAGCAAAGGAAAGCAGAAAGACGAGACAGAAACATACAACCAGACAAGATGACAGACTGGCAGACTGACAACCAGGGCGATGGACAGTTGCCGGACAGGACCAAAACGACAGACAGGCATTTCTTAAACAAAACAAGCCAGCGGGCGAGGCGTCGGACAGATGCATGGGCGGAAGTCGCTGACCGGCCGCCGCGCTTCAGAAGCACCAGAATAGCCATAATTTGGAACGAGATGTAAGGCGTGACGCAAGGGCTGCGGCCACACTTCCTGGGCAGGTGAAATAGTTAAAGCAGCGAGTCCTCACAGAACCACACTCGCCCAGACAGCAGCTGGAGGCCGGGTTAGAGGGGGGGAGGGAGGGGGGTCTGCAGAGGGCCTGCTCACTGTTAGTTACACAGGCGTGGCTGCCAATGCAATGCAGGCCGCAACTCAGCAGCCGGCCAGATGCCGGGCTAAAGGCATGTGTAAGTTGGATAGGATTTCGGACTGCTCAGAGGTGATACTCGAGGGCAGCGCTTTTCGAGCAGCGCTGCGGCCCGAAGGTTGTGACTTTGAATTGTGAAAAACGCCCGCCCGCCGCAAAACGCAAACACCGCAAAACGCGCAAAACGCACGCCGGAAACGCCAACGTAAATGTCGCAAGAAGAAAAAACACAAATAAATGCCCGCCCGCCGCAAACCGCAAAAAAAAAAAACGCAAAAACGCCGCAAAAAATAAAACCGCCCGCATCACACGCACGCTAACCGCCAACCGAAAACGCCTAAAAAGCGCCCAACCGCCGCCAACCGCCAACAAATTGAACACCGCAAACGACGCAAAAAAGAAAGCCGCCCGCATCGCCCGCACGCCCGCCGCCAAACACAAAACGCCCGCCCGCCCGCCGCAAAACGCAAACACCACAAAACGCGCAAAACGCACGTCCGAAACGCCAAAGCAAACGTCGAAAAAATCGCACGACCACCACAAACCGCAAAAAACGCAAAAACGCCGCAAAAAAATAAACCACCCGCATCGCACGCACGCTAAACACCAACCGAAAACGCCTAAAAAATCGCCCGCCCGCTGCCAAACGCAAACACGGCAAAAGCGCCAGGCCGCCGGAAACCGAAAAAAACTTAACACCGAAAAAGACGCAAAAAATGCCCGCATCGCCCGTCCGCCCGCCGTCAAACAAACACCACAAAAAACACAAAACACCCGCCCGCCGCAAAACGCAAACACCGCAAAACGCGCAAATCACACGCCCGAAACGCTAACGCAATTAAGTCCAAAGTGGCGCGAGACGTTACATGCATACCTCACAGTAACTTATTAATTCATGAAAATGATGAGATTCTTTAGTTAAAGCCACTTTAGGCAGTTAATGGCGCACTTAAGACAAAAATGGCGCACAACAGCCTATTTTTGTCTCGCTTCATATGTGTCGCTGCCTAGTTTCGTGCACTACCGTTGCAAGTTTCGACGAAATCGGCCCGTTGAAATAAATACGCGTAATATTCCTCGACTTTAGCCACTGTAGCAACCCGCGCCCCACTGGGGGGGGGGGGGGGGGGGTTGCCTTATTCAATATTCATAGCCCCCCCCCCCTCCCGTTTTTCTGCAATAACTTCTAAACCGCTTGACGTATCAACGCCAAACTTTCAGTACCTTCGGCTGCATCAATTTGACACCTTGTGTCAAAATATGAACTTCGTAGCTACCATAGGTCGGCCGAAAATGACGCCAGAGTGACGTCATGTTCGGCCGATTTCGACGCAAAACATTGAACCACGGCAATCGCTCCCAAGAGCTCAGTTTTTAAGCTAGATCCAATTTCTTTGCATGAGAGGACTCAGAATAGACTGCGCTATTAAACTGCTATCTCGGATTTTCGAAATGTTGAAAATTTCGAAAATTTAATATAATAAAATTCAAAATTTATATTTTTACATTTTTCCAAAACGTTTTTGACTTTTGAAAAAAAACCGGAATATATGTGATAGAACGCATTATTTTTAGTAACTCTAGCAAGTTTTAGCTAAAAATCTTCAAAAATGGCCAAGTTATGCGCATTATTGCAAAAAATTTACAATTATTAATTTTTCAAATCAATTTTTCAGCACGTATTTGACATCGTACGCCAATATAAATAGCACCATCGTGTTCCTGAGCTCAAACTGCATCTAATACACACCTTTTTTGTTGAAAAATTTTAGCTTCAAAATTGGACCTTTTTTGACCTGAAAGTGACCTGACCTATGCTAAATTCGACTCAAAATGACCTCGAATGACACAGACGACATCAAATTCGAAATCTTTGGCCTAAATGGACCATAAAACATGTGTCACGTGACCGACGCATGATATAATATTTTCGTGACCTGTGATGACCTGACCTTGACCTGAAAATCAAAGTACAAGTTTGGTACCCTCAGGGTATCTAGAGCATCTGTTCACGAGTGTGTGAACCAAAAATGAGCCTGATCTGACTTGTAAGACGGCGGCCAGAGCCCAAAACGTGAACAAATCAAAATGCTAATAATTTTTACTTTGACCTGACCTGTGACGTCATCGGTGACCTCAAGGTCAATGAAATTAGGTTTCGCTCAACAGTTTTTCCGGGGCTATCAGACGCCGTTTGAATTTTGACGATCGGCCCAGTAGTTTCGGAGTTAGGGGGGGCTATGAATAGCCCCCCCCCCCCCAGTAGGGCGTGTTATACGCAGACCCCAGTGGGGCGCGGGTTAAGTGGCGCACTAGAGACCAAAACGAAGCACATGAGTTTGTTGTATTCGTAGCGCCGTTTGTGACACAGGTCATTTTAATGCATCAATGTTGCAATTTTCGTCGAAATCGGCCCATAAATGGCAAATTTATGGCCAAAACGCCTTACATTGAGAGTGCACATGGTCACTCGAGGTGGGGTGCCACGTGCCACGTGTGGCCTAAAGACATAAAGCGACCATCCTTTTGTACCAGATGAAAGGGGTCTTCAGTGCCCATGGGTAGACTTTCGGGTGCGCCACCATTGTCTCCCAGCGGCCGATCAAACTTGGCCAATCTTTAAATTAGGGCTTACCTCACTATCGGTCACAATATCTCCGGAATGGAGAACCCCGGGCGGCCACGTGTTTGACACGTAGTAGACCCAACACCAATGGTCATTATCGCAACCGACTTGGAACTCTGGCTCAAACCCATGCAGTGAGGTTATCACCTGAGCATAATTATGCACCAATGGCTACCTATCCCAAAATGCTATACCCATGTGGCGCACGTGCGAAAACACGTGCACCACGTGATGAGGTGTACAACTATCCTAGAGCATCCCCTTGACGACTGACCTCGATTGGTTCCGCTGGCACGTATTGTTTGCGCGGCACAGGCCATCATACCAGCAGTGGTCAAATTTTCACGGAGGTGGTCCCCTCAAACAAGTGCGGGGCGTGCACGTGCATTTCAATCGCCCCATATATGGCCTATGCCACCTGGTAGGCGACATGTGGGTGCATATCATACTGAAACATTTTTAATATCTAACGTGGAAATTTTGAGCAAAATCGATTTAAGTATTTTTTCAAGAAATCCCATTGACTTAAGACGTGAAGATTTGTGCGCGTGCCACGTGCAAAAAAGTTAATTATATTTCAAGCGATTGACATTGACGAACGAACCTACTGACCGACTACCGGTACTAAAAAAACAAAGAAAATCTATCGAGCCGATTTTGAGCAAATCGAGAAAACCCGTTTTGGCACATTTCGTAACGTTAAACCAATGGCGGCTGCACGTGCAATTTGCACCCCCTTCCCGAAGCTGCCCGAAACGGCGCCGCCGGCTCATGGTAGATGCCGGGGCGGCCACCCAGCACATAGAAGCCCATCGCATTACAAGCACCCGTCTGCGAGAAATGCGATGCCGAAAATCCACCTATTGTTGAAGCCTATGGGCCTAAAACACGTGCACGTGCCACGTGCAAGAAAAATAATAATAATCTTAGCTGAGG